TGACAGAAATTAAGATGAGCAGAAACAGACTAATTATCCCCTCCAGGTCAAAACCAGACTCAATTTTATAAGTATCTTTCTTTGAAGTTCTCATCTCCGCATCTTTTTGGGGATTTAGAAAAAACTCCTTATATGGACCTCTAAACTAGTTTATACAAGGAATTTCTATGTACTAACTGTACTAATTCAAAATTAAAATTAGGCATTGATTGAAGGATACAGCACAGTTTTAAGAAAATCTCAACATGGAATAGAGTAGAAACAGGATTTCTGTTTGCAATCTATATTTCATACGATCATTTGTGACCTTTAATTATACCAGGCACCATACTTTTTTGATTATGTAGCCGTCATAGCACCAGAAGGACAGCATGCATTCAGGAGACAGCCAACACTGTTTGCTACTCTAACGGTGATACTCAGCTGGAGGAATGTATGGAAATTTTTAATGAAAATATTTAGATCTCTAATCACCTTGATTCAGAAGCAGTGTCCTGTCTAGTACAACAGGAAAACAAGGAATGATATTAGCACAAAGAAAGAGATATATGTCCAAAATCAGGATTTAGAATAAAAAAGCATTCCCATAAGTCAATAAAGCATAAATAAGATTATTTCAATAATGCACCAAAATGAACGCTTATACTATTCTTGTCAGTGAATATGAGAGAATATTTATAGAGGATCAAAGCTGTATAACAAAGTACTTCATCAGCAAAAATCTTAGTTTCTCATTGAGAAGTTGTATAAGTAAATAAAATGACTATCACTTTACTTTTGACAAATAAATTTCAATATCAATATTTTTTAATTATAAGCTTAAAAGCTGAGAAGCCAAAATAAGGAGTGACAAAATGCCTGTTGATAGAAAGGACATATTACATTTGATAAATGGGTATTATATAAATATACTGTATTATCATAGGCCATTATAGTTTAGCTACTAAACAATGAAGTAACATTAAACTTTAGAAAATAATTTGAAGTAAGGTAAAACAAAACATAGATATTCCCTTTCCTTTACCATTTTAATGCTGTGCAAGTGGCCCTACTAATGAATAAACCACAATATTAAAAATGTCTTGGCTCCTTTTTCTCAGCTTCCTAAAAACAGTAACCTGACATGTTTTTAATAATTCCGAATAGTGGTCCTAGAGAAGGATGCCTAATCTGAATTTCAAATTTCAAATTAATATGCCTTCTAAAAAGTAGTATTTGTTAGCTTATCTGCTAACCTACTCTATACCTTGTTTGACTATGCATATTTAGAGACCCACTCTATAAAACTCATAAAATATGAGGTACCCAAGTGGAAAGAAAACTATAATTCATAGTATTATGAACCTTCTCCCCTCATTATTCTGAGTAGTTCCAAATATCATGGTACTTGTGCAGGTATAATGTTCTCTCTGAAAGTAGTGGTTATTAGAAATCCAAAGCTCAGAAATCACTGGATTAAAACCACAGTCTTGGATATCCTCCTTCTTAGAAAATACACACTAAAAAGTATGCAGGAGTGTCCAACCCGCAGCCCATGGGTCATATGCAGCCCAGGATGGCTATGAATGCGGCCCAACAGAAAGTCGTAAATTCACTCAAAACCCTTTTTTTTTTGCTCATCAGTTTTCATTAGTGTTTGTGTATTTAATATGTGGCTCCAACTTTTCTTCTTCTAGTGTGGCCCAGAGATGCCAAAAGGTTGGACACCCCTGAAAGAGTATGCAACTTATTCATAAATGGCTTAGAATTTTAAAAAGCATATATGTATGAGGCAGAGAGAATGATAAAGCAAATGGGACAAATGTTAAAGATTGATGAATCTGGATAAAGAGTCAGCAGTGGTTCTCCATAATATTTTTGCAACTTTTCTGTAAATTTGAAATTATTTCCAAATACAAATCTAAAAAGCACTGTCTTCAAAATTATAACTAGTAAATTTATGTCTAAATGACTTACTTGTTGAAATAAGCTTATTAAGAGTTAATTTTGTCCAACAATTTTATTACTATGTAGACAGTCATCAATAATGCATAGGAATATACAATGAAAGCCAGGAACAATATTATCCAGGACAGTACTCTTTAAAAGCCAAAGAACTAGAAATAATCCCTGTGTCCATCAGCAAAAGAACAGGTACACTGTGACATGTTAAATAGTTATTAAATGTAATTACACTGCAATAATAATGAGTAAACTGAACTACACATAAAAATAGGAATAAATCGCACAAACTAATGTTCAGTGAAAAAAAGCCACATATAGGAGAATTTGTACTGTATCATGCCATTTAAATACAGTTTTGAACTTTATTTAAGCTATGGTATTTGAGGCCCAGACAGGGGAACCGCCTGGGTGGGAAAACGGGAGTAGCTCCAGCGCTGCCGTTAGCGTTACGTTTAGTGACTGGGTGGCCGTAACGTGGAGGGTTCACTCTGATGAGCCGTAGGGTTATTTTTAATGACAAATATTTTTAATGAAAAGAATTTTAAGTGTCTTTTTTGTTTATTGATTCTATGCTGCCAAATTATTAAAAAATATCCCAAATAGTGCTTTCTGGTATTTAGAATTTCTTGGAGCCAAGAAAACATTACAAAGTAATACAAAAAAATTGCAAATTTTTAAATGATCCTACAAATTTAAAAGTTCTCCTCATGTTTAAATATAGCACTTCCGATAAGAAAGCAACAAAAATGTGAAATTTTTCGATGCCAAATAAACACACATTTGCCCTCTGGACTGCAGTACTCTTCTACAGAATGAGACAGAGGGCCAAGGGAAGCTTTGGGAAGGAATAGTAGACGCACCTAAGCAAAAGATGAACCAAAGATGAACGTATAACTTTATTTTAAGCACTATAAATAATCCTTCAACAGTCACTCACTTTGTACTCTACATGCTATCACAGATAACCTGTGACCTTCTAAATGGCTAGTTTTAATTGTCACTTTCAGGCTTGGTTTTGTTTCTGGGAAGGAAACTGATTTTCCAGATGCTCATTTTAATTAACATAACAATAAACAAGCTGTAAATAGAGTTCACCAAAAGTGTTGTGTTCTTACTAATAGGTGGTACTATAGAGATAAGGCAAACTGATATTTCTCTGTGTGCGCATTTTGGTTCTCTAAATTCATTGTATACTCTCTATATATTATACTGTTTTCTTGTTGCTAACTTCCTTTAAAATTTCTCCTGTAAAGCTGTCACTTAAAGCTTTTAAAATCAATTCTTCATCAACTTTCTTCCCTAGAAGTTCACTGTTTAAACATAATTGTGCTAACTCAGAAAAAAGTTCAGATTTGAAAGTTCATTAATCCAATATTAATAACCTTTTTGGAGTGAAAAATACTGACTCACATAGACAAAAGATACTCAGAGATAATTCAAGAAATACTCTAACTAGTTAGGGAGAGTTATGTAGTTATATGCTAGCTTTGGGGATTTCCTAAGGCTAAAGAAAACGGGCCACATGAACATATAAGAAGATTTTAATGGCACACAGGCTGATTGATAGTATGTATTCTTCTCTTTAACTGTAAGAATTGCCAATTTTCAAACTACTCAAAACAACCCAAGTGTCCATCATCAAGAAAGTGAATAAATTGTGATGTATTAAATGAATATCATACAGCATGCTGGCTGGTGTGGCTCAGTTGGTTGGAGCATTGTCCTGGTTAGAGCATTGTCCTGTAAACTGAAAGGTCATGGGTTCAATTCTCAGTCAGGGCACATGCCTGGGTTTCAGTTTGGTCCCCAGTTGGAGCACATATGAGAGGCAGCCAATACACATTTCCCCCTGACATCGATGTTTCTCTCCCTCTCTCTCTCTCCTCTCCCTCTAAAATCAAAAAGCATGGCCTTGGGTGAAGATTAAAAAAAAAAATGAATACTATACAGCAATAAAAATGAAGGAGTCAAGCCACACATAAAGAAAGGAGTGAGCCCTGGCTTGTGTGGCTCAGTTGGTTGGAGCGTCAACCTGTAAACCAAAAGGTTGCAGGTTCGATTCCCAGTCAGGGCACATGTCTAGGTTGCTAGTTTAGTCCCCAGCCAGGGGCACATAGGAAAGGCAACCAACTGATGTTTCACTCTGACATCAATGTTTCTCTCCACCTCTCCCACTCCCTTCCCCTGTCTCTAAAATCAGTAAGTATGCTGTCGGGTGAAGATTTTAAAAAAGAAAAAACAGGAATGAATTTCATCAATTTCTAAGTCAACAACAATCTCTTTAGAAAAATTCCCAACTTAACCCCCTTCTTTCCAAAGGCAGAAAACAATCCACTAAGAATTTTTATGATCAGTGAGAGCTCATAATTTCAATTTTTTTTAAAAGGCAGTTTCACCAAATCACTACATCTAATTTTGTGTAGCTATAAGAGCAAAGAACACAACTTTAGTGGCTATACATTTCAGTATTGGAGACCAAAATAATAACTCGAATGTCTACAAAACTCAAGAGATTTCTCATGCCATCTGAAGGCCGTTGCTATCAACATGACCCTGTATCCATCATGTGATATTCACTGAGATTCAGAGAAGTACATCCATGTCACTGAAAAAATCAAAGAAATGCCTAGGAAATATTCTATATACTTAAAAATAAAGATACATTATATCCATCACATTAGTATGGCTGTTTAAATCAGTGGCTTTGGGTTCCATAAGACATATCCAGAGAGGCTAAGAAAAACAAGCATTATCAGGAGAGGTTCGTTTAGTATGTGTTAGCACCAGGGCTTGTTCCAAACAAAACCAAAGCTTAGACTACGGAACAAAGAAACACGTAAACAGTATCTAAATAATAATTTTAAAAGTGAGATTATCATGTACTCAAGTTTCTTAATAAAATTAAGTGGAATGAAAACCAATACATTAGAAATAGATGAGAACAAGCACAACAGAAGGATGCATAAATGTCACTGCAATATTAGCCACTCTTTAGTAACATAACAGTATTATCACTGCGGAGGATTTTCTTTGCAAACAGAGGATACTGATCTCACCTGATTTCATTTTCATACTGTGGGGACAGTCTACCTGAATTCTGGTAAAAGCTTTTCAGGAAAGAGGGGGCAGTGAAGGAAGGGGCAGAGAAGGAAGTGTGCAGACTTGGAAGACTGGAGGAAGAATTACTCTCCTTGTGCATGCGCCGAGCAGGTGGAAGGATGCTGAGTACAGAAAACACAGCAAGTTTGTCTCAATGTATATTTTGGCAAAATCTTCATTCGCTATGAAAAAGTATATAAACAGGTTCTTGTTATTAATTTAATCTTTCCTTTTAAGGCTCAGGGCTGGATCTTAGATGGGGGCGGGGGGGAGCATGCAGTTCTCTCCACCTAAAAGTATGACCTAGTTTCACCCTTTCACAAATTGAATTCCTCCTCGTCCATGCAGGATGTGTTTGTCCCTAACAAATTCTTAACAAGTTTTAAGACAAAAAGTGTTTGTTTACATGCAAAAGATACTTCAAGGGGAAAAAAATAGGAAAGCACAAATAATTACTGGAAACAAGTTCCAAAAGGAAAAACATATTACCAGTAGTTCAAAGACTTAACTATTTTAAAGACATACACTCTTCTAAAAATTTAAGAACAAGATGTTTGGCTCTTGTAAGCCATTATATTACTTTTGGCCTAACGAACATTAATGTCCATATTCTTTCCTGCAGCTGGTAGAATTGTGCAGCCGTGGTTTTATCTGAATCCCTAAATCTCCAGCACAGCTCTTTGTATTTTTAGAAGACTCTTTTCTTAGCAAGTTTATACAATGATACAAATAACATCTTTTTTATTGATATAAATTATTTGAGCTTATACATTATAAAAAGTGGAAAGCATAAGGAAGAATAGAGACATCATTTATAGTTTAAAATAATCTTTTAAATTCTTAAAAATAATTTTTCCTGGGGGGGAGAAAAAGATTTACTGCCTTGATAAACATAAAGTGACTGTAAAAAAAAAAAATCTTGATTTACACATGAATACTTAATATTCTTCATAAAAGAATATCTGAAGATAATTAATTTGATTTACTCATTTTTATATATCCTAAATATCTTAATTTTTATCTCAAATCATTCAAAACAAAAGGAGAATAAAATTTTATCCTTAAAAGAAATGCTGGTAAATTTGATAGTAATATAAAAATTAATCTCCTTTTACTTAGAGTTCTGGTTTGTTTTCCTTTTCTCCAACTGAGATCCCTATCAGGCCATTTCCTGTATCAAACTCACAGGGAAAGAAGATAAATCAAATTTGTTCTAGGATATAAATTCTGATTTGTGTTACACAGTAAAAAGTATAAACATTCTACTATCCCACATTTACCTCCTTTATTATTTCTTATTAAATGCCAACAATTTTGTTATTTTTTAAATACCATGTAAGATAATGCCTAATGGCTACTTCCTATCAGTTATGTTGTGTGTATTCTTTATAGATACCAAATTATTCTAGGTAAAATTTTTAACAATTTTCTTATTTGGCTTTAATTTATTATGAAATAATATATAGCCAATTTTTGTCTTAAGTATTAGGGTAATTTAGGTGATTTTTTTTTAACCCTGGCATTTTATTGGAGGCTAACAGGAAGTTCTGCTATGTTATTTTTGAATTTGCTGACTTTGTTTCATTAAGCAGTCATCTAGAAGGCACTGGTGACATGTATTGTCAGCAGGTTTTTCAGGCAAAACCACATGTATAATATCTTGTTTTCTCTACTTTTCTGGAAAAAAAATATTTCCATCCAAAATGCTTTAACAAAGCTCTTTGGGTGTGGCTTAAATCTTGCCTTGTTTCCCTTAGTAACTAAGGTTTTTATAATTCAATTTATTTTTATGGTCTTTCCAAAAACTAAATGTTGGCTACAGCATGAAGGCACCACAAATCTGGACTCCACAGCGATCAAAACAGGCTGGAGAAGAACTTTATTTCACGTTCCAGAGAGAGGTTTGGACTCACCTGCACTGTTCGCTGGAGCTCTGCCTCAGAAAAGGGGAGCGAACCCCGGGAGCCCTCCCATCCTGTAAATTCAGCTTTCTCTTTGTGCTTGAAGGTGGGTGGCTGAACGTGTGTGCCCGTCTTCGAAACTGGGGGGAGTCGGAATCCTCTTCAGGGAAGGTCTGCCAAGCAGAGGACAGTGGGGAGGCTGGCGGTGTCCCTGGTGGGGAGTCTCCTGGAGAGTAGTCCTGAAAGGCAAGCAGAAGGGAGTGCTTTCCTTCCTACATGGACCACGGCAGACCCGCGGAAACACAGAGCTCAGAAGTGACAGGGTGCCTCTTCTTCCTCCTGAGTCATGACAAAACTGGTCTTTTTTTCTCTTTTACTCAATCCATGCTGAAGGCTAATCAGTATCAGCACAGCCCATTTCTTCTGATAAGCAGCAGTAAGACAGCACCCGTGAAGATAGGCAAGAAAGTGAAAGGGATAAGAAAAGGTATTCTCTTCCCTAACACTTTGTGGTAAAAAGGCTGTAGCTACTGCACGTTTCTCATTGTTGCCAGAAAGATGAAAAGAGATCAAGACCAAAAAAGGGTGGAGTCTGCATTTACGTATCTACTGATTTCCGTGACATATCGGTTGCATGTTTCCTGTACTGTCAAAAGAATATCACAACATGTAAGTGGCCAAGTCTGGTGGCAAAGCCTTCAGGAAAATAAAATAAAGGCTGTTAAGTATCTTCCTTCACGGTGGATGTTTCTATCCAACTACATGTTCCCTGATGTAACATTTTTTTTTTAAAAGACATGAAAAACAGGAAATAAATGAAAAGTGACTTAGGCTGGAATGCATCTCATATTGCATGCATAGGCATCATAAATCTTTCAATTTAGACAGATACGCTGTTTATACTTCATAGAACAAGAACCACTGTAGAAATGTTTAGCTTAATACCATGGGTTAGGACTAAAAAGACTCACAGCTGAACTAAGTCTTCAATTTTATCAATAGAAAGTTTAATAAAAATATTTTAATATTTTTCCATTAAAAAAAATAGATTGCATATGCCTCAGGTTACATGTTGCATGATACAGGAAACAGGAAACCAAACCTACTGAGAATTGTCTATGAGATTAAGAGCCTAATGTTGCAGTTAAAATGGTTAATAATTGGGGGTGGGAAGGATGGGGATATAACATGGGGAGAAAGCAAAGGATAAAAAGATCACTGTACAAGTGCAGTAATTACATGGCTTTGGAGCAACATTTTTCTATGACTTTGGAGCAACAGTTTTTCAAATACTGTCCTCCAAATTACATTAACCCCAAATAGTAAAGAGTATGATAGGACAGAGTTAGTCTGCAAGGGATATGTTCTGTCTCACCATGAGAAAGCTCCTGCTGAATAAAAAGCAACATGCTGCCCTGGCTGGTGTGACTCAGTTAGTTGGAGCATTGTCCCATAAACCTAAAGGTTGCAGGTTCAAATCCCAGTCAGAGCACATGCCCACGTTTTTGGGTCCACTGATCAATGTGTTTCTCCCCCTCTCTCTAAAATCAGTAAGCATGTCCTTGGATGAGGTTTAAAAAAAAATGTGCTCATATTCAGAATCTTCTTATTTAAAATAATAAAGCCTCAAATATCTATTTTCTAAAAAATCATAAAGGACTCAGAACAAAATAACTAAGCATGCAAATTACCATATCAGTGTTAGTTTGTGCCAAGTCCCAATTAGTGGTAAAAAAAGGGGGAGCTCTGCTTAGATACCTTCTCTGAAGCAAGACTGTTGGCCCGTTCAAAGCTATCCATGCTCCCAAGCCGACCTCTCATTCTGTTAGCTCCCTAAATGAAAAGAATAAAATTAAATCATTCATACGATCTGATTTTTTACTTCAAATTTACTATAAAGAGCAGTTCCTTCTTTATGTTAGCATTAAATTGATCCTTTTTGCAGTTCACTCAATTTTCTTGGCAGTATTAACAGTCATTCTGGCACAGTAAACAGAACTATTCACAATCTATTTCTATTATTTCTAAATCTGCCATTAGATAACTAGATACTCAGGCCAAGCTTTTTTGAAGTTACTTTGGTTACAAGGTTGAATATTATTCATCCATAGGATCAGAAGATCCCCTTAACATCACAGAGAGCCCATTACCTCTGCATGCCATGGAGATAAACATAAATATAGAAGGGACAGCACAACCAACCACAAGTGGCTTAATACATATAACCTCCCTGCAATCACGATTGCAGACACTAGTTCACAGTGCAGGGTTATCACAGACACGGGCTAAGAAGAGAGAAATGCATCCTAAAATGTACGGGTTTAAGTGTCATTCATTGTTCCATAATGCAAAACAATTTTAATAAAGCATTTCTCTCTAAAAAGACTAAACAGTCCACTTCAATGTTGGTGAACTGCATTTTATTTTGCCTTTTCACACAGTCCTTTGGTGTGGATTTCACAGAAGATCTAAGAAAGAAAAACCTAAGAGATCATTGGTAAACAGGGTGGGGCAAAAGCAGGCTTACAGTCGTGAGCCTGCAAAACACAGTTTATGCTTGTATTATTATTCATTATTGTATTATTTTCCATGTGAACAACTGTAAACCTACTTTTGCCCCAGCCTGTATTTCCCTCACATTGTATATGAAGAAACTGAAGCCAATTTTTGAAGGAAAGAAGGTGGACAGGCAGGCTGGGAACCACATCACACAGAAGAAGGTCTTAAGAGACAAAGTACACTGGGGAAGAGTTCCGTGTGACTCTACAGCACATGGAAAGGTTCTAAAGAGGATAACTGGAAATACAAGGCAGTGTGACAGTGACTCTGAAAAATAAAAAACGCAGTTTTTGTGTAGCAGTTTTAATGTTTGTAGTCATACGTTCTTGGGTTTAATTTTTTGAGGGAAGGGAGTTAAATTTCATTTTAATTTTTAATCAACACCTGCACAAAATTTCAAAAGCCAAATTATGCTACCAGGCTCAAAAGGAAAGGTGAAAGCCACCACCCGCCCCCTCTCTTACACACTGAATCCCATTCCCCAAAAGCAAACACTTGAAAGTTTGTTTTGACATCTAGGGCATTTAGCTTATATTACTACTCCTTCATCTCTCCACTTTAGGCACCATTTATTCACTTCCTACCTTGCAAGATGAGATGTTAGTATTCTTATTCCATGCCCCGCCCCTATGCACACTCTTTTGTTCTCTTCTCTCTATACAGTTATGTCACCAACTTCAGTTAGAACCAAAATTTGTGGTTAGATTATTATGATTTTGTAAATAGTGTTTGCACCTAAGATATATATTTGACTATTACTACAATTCATAACTTGTGTGATTTGTTTTTCATAGAGTTAACATCTACTTAGGCAGTCATTAATGTATTGCAAAAGACACCAGCAGATCTCAAAATGGTCAAATATCCCATAATCCCTCAATTACAATTTTTTTCTTTTTCTTTGAGTTACCCAATATGAAGACCTCCATCTTCCTGCCGCAGCCTGGGCTGGTTGCAATTTACGTTTCCTGAATAGATCTTCCCAGTATTTTCCTTCACTATTAACCTAGAAATATCCTTTAATGCTACCCTATGTTGGAATTTCCATTTCCTTGATCCCATGTCTTCCTCTTTTGCAGTTTAGTTCTGCATTTTGGTGGAGCACATAATCCAAATGCTTTGTGAGAGAGACTGGGAACTAATTTTTTTTTAATTTACCTGTAAATGTCATTATTCTATACCTAAATTTCATTAACAGCTTGGATGAATATATTGTTTTGGTTAGAAACTCTCCTTCAAGATGTTAGCATTGCCCAAGAGTCTCTGGCACAGAAGTCTAAGGCCACTGCAATTCTTGAGCCTTTGTATGACATGCTATTTCTCTCTGGAACAGATGTGAAGTTTACCCTTGGCATTCTGAAATTTCACAATTATGTGTCTTGCCATGGCTTTATTCAGTCATATTACTGTACCCATTCTGAACCCATTAAATCTGGAAACATGTCTATTAGCTTCGAGAAATTTCTAAAATTATTTCTTTGAAAATTTCTGCATTCATTTTCTCTTTCTGGAACTCCTACCATATGGCTTTTTAGATCTTCAGGCTAATCTTTTAACTTTTTAACCCTACTCTCTTATTTTCCATTTCTTTATTATTTTTGCTTTGTTTTCTTGAAGATTTCTTTTAACCCTAACCTCCTACTCCTCTACTGAGTTTTTCTTTTTATGTCTACTATCAGAAAGTTTGAAAGTTGAAAGTTCTTTCTTGTTCTCCGTTGACTGTTTTCTATTTGTGGCATCCTATCTTGTTTCATAGAAGCAATATTTATTCTCCTCTAGGTACATTAATTATAGTTTCACATCTTTGGTGGGTCTCTAAATAACAATTATGTAAACAATGAAATTAAGAGCTGCATGAATTATTACTGAATACTTATCATGTGCTAAGTACTCTGTTAAGCATTTTACAATGTATTATCTCATTTATTCCTCACAAAAATTTTATGAGGTAGGTGTAGTTTTTAGCTCAACTTTACAGATAAGAGACTGAAGCTCTGGTATGATTATGTTGCCAAGGTTTACACAGCTAGTTAAAGGACGGAGCAACAATTTGAACCGAGGAGGCACAACTTAAAAGTGAAGCTCTTAAGCTCTCACTCAACACTCCCTCCTAAAGACAGAGCTTTGTGAAAAACAGAATTACCAATAAAAGTAACTGGCCTTCATTGGTAAAGGGTAAGTTTTGCAAATGCCCAGACTCTGATCAAGGTTATTTCAATTCTTCAGTTCCATACTATAATATGACATACTTCTAATAATAAACTACATTTATGATTGATAAATTATTGGATTAACGTATGGGGCCAGGAGGTAAATATTTTAAAGAACAGGTTGCTTTCTGCTATTTTTTCAGCTGCTACTTACATGCCAACCTGCCTGGTTATCTTAAACAGGCTGTTTGGTCACAATAGTAAAAGTAGTCAGATGGATATCAAACCATTGGCATTACTACAATAGCAATTTAAGTGAGCTTCCTCACTAAGATCAGGAACAAGACAAGGATGTCCACTTTCACCATTTCTATTCAACATAGTATTGGAAGTCCTAGCCACAGCAATCAAACAAGAAAAGGAAATAAAAGGCATCCAAATTGGAAAGGAGGAAGTAAAACTGTCATTGTTTGCAGATGACATGATAGTGTACACAGAAAACCCTGTAGACTCCACTAAAAAACTACTCGACCTAATAAATGATTTGGCAAAACAGCAGGATACAAAGTCAATATTCAGAAATCAAAGGCATTTTTGTACATCAACAATGAAATATCAGAATCGGAAATCAGGAAAAAAATCCCACTTGATATAGCAACAAGAAAAATAAAGTACCTAGGAATAAACCTAACCAAGGAGGTAAAAGACCTGTACTCAGAAAACTACACAACACTCAAGAAAGAAATTAAGGAAGACACAAATAAATGGAAGCATATACTGTGTTAATGGATTGGAAGAATTAACATCATCAAAATGTCCGTACTACTCAAAGCAATTTACAGATTCAATGCAATCCCTATTAAAATACCAATGACATATTTCACAGATATAAAACATACATTTCAAAAATTTATATGGAACCATAAACAATCCCGAATAGCTGCAGCAATTTTGAGAAAGAAAAACAAAGTAGGAGGGATCACAATAACTGACTTCAAACTATATTCAAGCCCACTGTAATGAAAACAGTCTGGTACTGGCATAAGAACAGACAAATAAATCAATGGAACAGAATAGAGAGCCTAGAAGTAAACCCATTTCTCTGTGGTCAATTATTCGGCAATGGGGGCAGAAGCATAAAATGGAATAAAAATAGCTTCTTCAACAAATAGTGCTGGGAGATCTGGACAGCTACATGCCAAAAAAAAAAAAAAAAAAAAGAAAATTCAACCACGGACTTACACCATACACAAAAATAAACACAAGATGGATAAAAGACAAACACAAGTCACGAAACCATTAAAGTCCTAGAGGAGAATACAGGCAGGAAATTCTCAGATATTCCACACAGCAATACTTTCACCAATTTGCCCCCTAGAACAAGGGACATAAAGGAAAGAATAAACAAATGCGACTTAATCAAAAATAAGAAGCTTCTGCATGGCTAAAGAAAACATCAGCAAAATGAAAAGGGAGCCAACTGTATGGGAAAATATATTTGTCAATGATACCTCGGGCAATGGTTTGATCTCCAAAATATATAAAGAACTCACATGACTCCACTCCAGGAAGACAAACAATCCAATTAAAAAATGAGCAAAGGACCTGAACAGACATTTCTCCAAGAAGGACATACAGAGGGCCCATAAGCATATGAAAGAACGCTCAGCATCACTAGCCATCAGAGAGATGCAAATTAAAACCACAATGAGATGCCACCTCACACTTGTCAGAATGACCATCATAAACAAATCAACAAACAACAAGTGCTGGCAGGGTTTGTGAAGGAAAAGGAACCCCAGTGCACTGTTGGTGGGAATGCACGCCGGTGCAGCCACTGTGGAAAGCAGTGTGGAATTTCCTCAAAAAACTAAAAATGGAACTGCCTTTTTGACCCAGCATTTCTGCTGCTGGGATTATACCCTAAGAATCCTGAAACACCACCTCAAAAGAACCTATTGAGGTGCCTCAATGTTCATAGCAGCACAATTTACAATAGCCAAGTGTTGGAAACAACCTAAGTGCCCATGAGTAAATGAGTGGATCAAAAAACTATGGTACATTTTCACAACAGAATACTATACAGCAGAAAGAAAGAAAGAGCTACTACTCTTCATGACAGCATGGATGGAACTGGAGAGCATTATGCTAAGTGAAATAAGCCAGGCGGTGAAAGATAAATACCATATGATCTCACCTGTAAGTGGAACCTAATCAACAAAACAAAAAAGCAAGAAAAATATAACCAGCAACATTGAAAGAAAAAACAAACTGACAGTAACCAGAGGAAGGGAGGGAGGGGGATAATGAGGGAAAAGATGGGGAAGGGTCATCAAGGAACATGCATAAAGGACCCATGGACAAAGCCAAAGTGGGGAAGGATTGGGGGTGGGAGGTGGGGGTGGGTGGGGCAGGGGAAAGTGGTCCGGGGTAAATGGAGACCACTGTACTTGAATAACTATAAAAAATTAATTAAAAATTTTTTTTAAAAAGATAAAACTTAAATGACACATTTTACTCACAGTGGAATTTATCCACATGTTGCATGTGTGTGTATACACAAGGAAACCAAACTTACTTTAATTAATTAATTATTCACACATTTTCGAAGACAATGGGTATCACTCTGAAGAAAGCATGAAATGACTGTTTTCTAATGGCTCACACTTTATTTTATGGGGTTTTTTTTGTAAATGTGTATATTAATAAATTTACCCATAAATATTTCTCTTTTGGTAAACTTCGACTTAAGAAAAAGTAACAAACCAGAATACGAGGCTGTCTTTTCACCTCTGCACAGATAATTTCTTCAGTTTTACTGTATTACGATTTGGTAATGCATGAGTCAAGCCTTTTCCCTTGGACCCACTTTTTAATTGTTAGTGAGCTGAGCTATTAAGCTATTTAAAACTGTATCCTATTTCATCAACAACTATAGTCAGGTAAATAAAATATTTTTGTATTTAAAATGACAACAATTATGAGCCAAATATATGGCTAACGTGTCAATGCTCTACTTTCTATACAAAGAGGAAAAAAAAACAGATAAGTTTTAGAAGCATGCCAAACCCCTTCTGTAGGCAACCTTTAATACAACATGGGTAGCTGCCAACCTTCCCAGCAAGTCCATTCTGCTGCACATGGTGCAAGCAAGACCTTGTTAGTTCACATAATTTATGACACTTGGCAGCATTTGTGACACAAAAGCTACAGCAGTCACCTTGACCAAAATAGGCTGGCTGTGCTCTTGCTTAAAGTGTCATTACCGTCATTCATGGCTATGTGCATGGCACTTCAAAGTCAGCGGCGCAGGTATTTTGCAGAATGCCAAGGTACTGAGTGGGGATAAAGAGAGTATCTCTAACTACTCTTTGGTCATTTGGTAAATGACGAAGTGTCAGAGCTCTCACCATTTGTACCACCTCCTATCTATAGTGTGATATTTTCCTAACAAATTGACATTTCATCCTCACAGCAATGTGAGGTAAGCAGGTATTAGTATGTCTGCTTCACAAGTGGGGAAACTGTGGCTTAGAGAAAGCAAATAATTTGTCCAAAATCATAAATATAAAATCTGCTAGGGCCAGGTCTTGAATTCAGGGTCCATGATCGTCTATTTAAATGGATTCTCACTAAAACACCATGAGAGAAGGGGACAGAGAGGAAGGAGAGAAGGAGGGAGGCGAGGTGGGAGGGAGGGGAAAGAACATATCTAATTTATAATTTTGAAGAAAATAAGGTAGTAAAATTTTATGAAAAGTTGCATTAACACACTTCTGAGTAACGTCCTAGATACTCTTCCTCGATTCTGTTTCTGCTGACAAAACGACAGCACTGACAGGCAGCCGCGCCTGCCGCGCCCTGTTGTTCGGATCCAAGGAGTCTCGGTCAGTAAGGAGATACCTATTAAAGTACCGGAGTTCTAGCATAGAATAAAATTAAAAAATAAATAAGAGCGCCATATATCAGAAGTTACTATGTCCTAATGCTCTACTGTACTTTCTGGACCTGGACACTTTTGAAGATAACGGGCTATGTTGTGGGCTGTAAAAAATAACTAGGATTGGTTGATAGCTTCTCATGATCAGGTCCAGGGACTGCCCTTGGGCAGGAATGCCACAGACGTGGGGCCGGATTCTCCGTATCAAGTGTCCCATTGCTGATGGTGTTCAATCTGACTATTCAGTTAAGATGGTGTCTGCCAGTCCTCTCCATTGTAAAGTTACTGTAATTAATAAGCATTAATTAAATCTAGTCAATAGCCTGTTCCTGATCAAACTCTCAATGTATTCATTTATTTTTCATGTCAGAATAGACTCAGGTTTCCTATTGTGTACAACAGATTATAATCTGTTGCTATCATTTATTTTGATGCTCATATTGTCTCACATGTCACGAAGTGGGAGCCCTTCATGGTTTTTATGTCTTTATGACATATCAGCATCTTTCTTTGAGTGCTTCTTTACTATCTAGAGTGCCATGATGCTCTGGTCTTATTTTTTACTTTCCCTAAAGTCCTGGAATTCGTCATTTCTCCCAGGATCCAGGTACCCTCTTGTAGAATGATATATAGAAACCCAAATCCGGGTGCTAGTTGTCTCCCAGCAAGGCTTAATGTATTATCTGATATTTGCAGAAAAGCTGGCCCCAGCGCCTATCAGTGGATAGAGCCAGAAACCATATGTACAAATTTACACCAACACAAACTCACATACATATACACACGCTAATACATAAATTGTATATGAGGTCTGTCCAGAAAGTATCCTGCCATGTCATATGTAAAATACAGACATTTATTGAAGGAGATACAAGACACAAGAAACACTGGACACAGGACAATGACACCTCAGTCCCCTTTCAAGTAGGCACCTTGGGACCTCACACTGTTCTCCCAGTTGCCATCAGCTGCCCCATCATATATTCCTAAATCTCATGGACAGTCTGAGATATCTTCCCTTTCAAAGGTGATTGTTAGTTTTGGGCAAAGCCAGAAGTCGCAGAGCACCAAAGCTGGGCAGTAGAGGGGTTGAGCCACATGGGTGATTGATATTTTGCCAAAAATCTCTGCAAGAGACATGATGCATGAGCACAGGTGTTGTCGTGATGAAGCTGCCAATCACCAAACGCCCATAGCTGCAGCCTTCTGAATCATCTGAATAGTTTCCTCAGAGGCATGTTCAAGCTTAACCCAAAATTTGATGCAGATTCATTGCTTTACTTGCTCAGTCATCTTGAATGCAATGGCCACCCAGTACACACGCTCACTCAGTGGCGCCTACCTCCTCCACTGACTAATACCGTGAAGACGTCACAGTTCGCGCATGTACGTTCCAGTCCACTCTCCTTGGCTGCCGGATTATATGGATGCCACGTAAACCGTTCTCATTAAATTAAAAATGGCTGGACTTTTCCTGGATAGAACCCTGTATGTATAATACATGAAATTCTATTCCTCAAAAATATAGACAGATAAATAACCAAGATTCTACACTGTTACTTCTGTGTTGACTCCAACAACAAAGAATTCACTATAATGTCCTCTCTTTGCATATTTGTAATTTCTTTCTCCTAACATCCCACTATCCTTAATACATTTATATATTTGATCAGTCTCCTGTGCATAACCAGTGTCCACAACTGCCCACACACAGGCACCCTCCTCATCCTACAGTTTCCGACACCCAAGCCAGGGCTGCCAGCCCAGACATGGACACCATCCTCACCCACACAGCCTCTGCCTCCTGGTGTCGGACACCTTGCGTGCTTCCTCCCCTCTGCTCTGGCTCGGACACCCTGCACGGTGCCATCCATCTGCAGGGAAAGCCTCCTCACCAACTCGGGCTACAACTTCCTGAATGAGGGTGCCTTCTTAACCGAACACGCTCCGCACCGCACTCTGGTTTCCTTGGGCCACCACCCACCACCACCAGATGTGTGTGCGTGCGCATGCACACACACATACACCACAGCACCCAAAATGGCTCTGTCTCCCTGCTTTGGGCCACTGTGGTTCCCCTGCCCTCCAGCCCCAGGACACCCACATTGCTTGATCTCATCTAACATCATTAGGACTAAGCTGTACAGGAAGAACAACATGAAGGGGAAGAGGAATCACTTTGCTTATATTTGAATAGAACATTTTCTCTTCCCAAATTTACTAAAAGGAATACATAAATTTCTGTTAACTTACACTCACTGTTTCCAGCATTTCCTATCAGCTCCTTAAATGAGCAATGAAGGATTTCTTTATAACTTTATGTGGCAAATGATTAAAAAAGTTCCTATGGTATTGAGCAACAATATTCAATTTTCCCTTTTCTATACATATATCTCTACTAGTAAGTCTCTATTACTCAAATTCAGATATTGTAAGCACCAGAATAAATCTATATCTGAGAATGAAACTTAATTTTAGAGGTTATTTTAAATAAGTGTAACTAAATTAAATCATCTTAGTAGTTTTTTTTAAAAGAACTCTTCTGTGAGCCAGTTTAGAATAAAGCAAAGCAGTTAAAAAATACAGACATTAATGCCCAAAAGAGTCTCAGTGTCTCCTTACCCTTGAGAAGATATTTTCCAGGGAGCTAGTTAAGGATCTCTTAGCTTTATTTTTCAGAATGTCAAGCTTGAACCTTCCACTGCTTGTTGCATTTTCCGGGATTGCACTATTTGATATAGTCTATAGGAAAAAAACAGATAAATTTTAGTTTAGGACAACTCAAGTATCGACTCCCAGGGCCTGCATGGAATATGGTCACTTTTGGTCACAAAATTACTGTACAACTTTGTGCTCAATGTCCTTTTCTTAAAACATACCTCCTCAACTTCTGATTAGCAAACTTTATCTCTCTTTAAACTCTAGGCTCCCCGTGCCCCCCCAAAAATCTTCCTCTTGAATCTTTAATTCTTCCCTCTACACTTACTTTCTACTCCAGCTCCAAAGCAAAGACATAGCTACTTTTGTGCTCACTGCACATACTTTTAAAAAGCTACTTTGTTGCCTCTATTATATGTGTTCCTTTATCTGTCTGCAATCCCCTTTGGAATATTTGATCCCTTCTCTGGAGGGAACATCATTCATTCATATTTTTGTTCACCATTATCACACAGCATGGCTCATAGAAGCTTCTCTAGAAAAGCTTGTCCAATTAATAAGGAATCACTAATACAGTGACATGTGATTTGTCCTTAATAAAGCTAAATCAAGACATAATTTGCATTAGTATTAAGAGGTAGGTAATTAGGTAATCATCTCTCTACATGCTATTGCTGGTGCTCTTACTTTATTGGTATGCAGCTGGAAACACATTCTAAACCACGTGCACAAAAATAGCATCGCTTAGTTTGTAGCTATAATAATAGCTGTTTCCATGATCCTACAAGTTCTTTGGGTTTTTCTATTTACCATTCAAGGCTGTGTAAGCTTTTTTTTTTAATTCATCGCCTGAGGATACACTTACTGCTTTTAGGTAGAGAGGGGGAGAGAGAGAGAGAGAAACATCGATCGGCCGCCTCCCATACACATCCAGTGGGATCAAACCCCCAACCTTTTGGTGCATGGGAGGACACTCCAACCAACTGAGCCACCTGGCCAGGGCTGTCTAAGCTTTTAATGAAATACGATGTTTGAGCGGGTTCAGAGGATGGCCCGCCAAGATGTGCTACTTTGGCGTGCGGATTATTTTAAGCTGAATACACCCAAGATCCTATGGGCTCACAAGAAACTTTTCCATCTCCCCTAAAGAATTTAAATGAGGGGCCTTGCCCATAATATGAGTTATCGCCAGAAATAACTTATGAACTATCTATAGGGTGGGGGAAATTTCTAATTACTGAAAACCTGCTCTTCCTATCATCATCTTCTCGTCCTACAGAGCCCTTCCTCCCCTCAGAAGCCCAAGGCACCTCACCTCACCCTCTACCTCAGGATGCCACACAGATGCCATTTTCCCTTTCTGTCAGTGACCCTGTCTTATATGCGGGGCTTCTGACTCTCTCAAGTATGTGGGGTTCCCATACACACGTATATAATTTAATTCAGTCATTATCCCTTACTAGTCTGTCTCAGATTAGTAGACCAGCCAAATTATTAGAAGAGCCAAAAAAATCCTAGAAGGGTAGAGAAAAGTTTCTTCTTCTCCCACATGTTCATATACATTTGAAATAAAATAATGGGTGAATGTAACTAAAAATTCACACTCATTCTAAACCATCAACATGTTATTCATGTTTTTATGCAAAAGACCCAATTTTACATTTTTAAAACCACAATTATTTTATCTCAATATGCCAATTCCTGTTAAAATTTCCTATAAAACTCCTTAAGTGCTAAAAAGTAAATCTGATAAGACTGTAGCCCTAAAGATGAGACAACAAAGGAAAGAAATTCCTTTCTGATTTTCTGTGATAATTTGACTAAATATAGAAGTGAAACAAAAGTAGCCACAGAAAAAACCTCTGCGCACCGATGGGCCTTCCCCAATGTGGTCGTGGGTCTTCTGCTTGGCCTCGCAAAGCTGCCTCAAGTGTAAAATCACAAGTTCGTTTTCCTCCTGGTCATTGACTGGCTTCATTTTCTGTTGAAAAGACAAACCAAGAGCACACTACGGCAACACAACTTCTCTAGTTTTATTTTATTCCCACTTGGTTTTATCTGTCTGGCAGGCAAACGTAAATAAAGTTCAGCATTTAACTGCTCTTAGAAGTGAAAGTAACGAAGGCATTCTAGGTACTAATAGTACAATAGGACACATATCTTTCACTGCAGATACAGAAATGAAAAAGGGAACTTAGACAAACAGGATCTAACTCTCATTTCTTACATCTTGATTGTGAGACTCATGAGCCATGTTACCTGGACGCGTTCAAAGATGTCAGCTTGCTCGTTATCTGTCAGTGATGAGAGATGCCTCTGAATGACCAGTTTGGCTCTTGGGGGGTAGAGACCTAAGGGAAATGATGGGGATCCATATTAAACAGAGCGTAGCTGCAGAAATCAGAATGTAAATCACATACTGCAGCTTATCCCTTCGCCAGCAGGCTCTGGAGTTAAACCTGCTCAAGGGGCTGTGGGTCCCGGCTCGCAACAAACCTTGAGCACTGCAAGGAAATTATTAGCACCTGATGGAAAGCCCCCTCAGCCAAATCGCTGGCCCCTGTCCTGCCATCAGATTTATTGACAAAATGATCCTGCAATCAGGTTTATTGATAAAGCATTTCTAAGTGATGCCGCATCAACCGCTTAACCAGACACCATGACTGTAGTTAACAATCTAACTCGCCACCACAGGGACATTTGGAGAATTAACATTATCCTGGTTCCCGACATGGAAATAAAAGCCAAACACTAGCCTTGACTGAAATCGCTAAGAATATAACATGACCTTTAAAAAAGAATAAATAATAATGTTAAAAGGCAGAGCTACGATTTAAACAGGCATCCCTTCCCCCTCACGCAGGTCTTGTTCTGTGGTGATAAAACTTCAAGGACCTCATTAAAATTTAGTGACATTTTTAATGTTACTATTTTACCAAGAAATTGTTTACTCCTTTATACCGTGTTACTTATATATGATACTGTTATAATTTATATTAAATCCTTGAGCAAAATTTTTTTCCATGGAAACATTTTTTTGTTTTTATAACTTTTAAAAAGAGAAAATGTAATTCATATTTAAAATGATTCAAATGACCATCTATTTTTTAAAAAGAACACATCTTTACATAGGTAGGTGCCACTTATAATACTGCTACTAGATTTTGATTAGAAAGAGGAGATCTAGCTATATATATTTAGTGAATCGTATAGGTAACCTGGCACTTGAAAATCACTGAGAGAATCACATCAAAATACACATTGTTTTAAAGGAACTAGAATTCATTTATGGTTGTCAGGATGTGCACAGTGCTGCCACTGAAGCTGTTTTAAACCACTTGTACGGTGCATACTGGCAATCAGAAAGAACGCTTTTTTGTGTGCAGTGTGCAACACAAGTCTGAGGGAACCTCTATGCCTGCACCCAGGAACAGCAGGCACTAAAATTCGTTTTGACGAGTGGAGACGCTCACCACCATCGCTTCTTTGCTGGCAAAGTCTCCTTAAGAGGTTCCTTAGGCGATATATTAAGAAACTGATTCACATGATTGTTTCTGCTTTATGTTTTCTGCTATATGCTTTATATATCGTACTGTTATAATTTATATTAAATCCTTGGGCAAAATATTTTTTACTACTGTTTACTATTGTTACTATTTTGTTTACTATTCCGGTGTCTTATTAACATGACTAGAAGGATAAAAGATTTAAAGGGGAAGAAGAGGGCAGTTACTTGAAACTAAATCCATAGCCCCAGAAGTTTCTTTAGACCTTCGTTTCAGTAAAGAAATTGGAAACAGCTGGAGTTCATTTTCAAATTACACATGCCAGATCCGCTGCTGTGAATCTGATTTTACTTCCTTCTCCCTGTTTTGGAATCACAGATTAGTGAACTAGTGATACTGAGAGGCAAGTGTATTATTTATCTCTCATATATGTTAGGGTAGGAAAATAAGACCAAGGATACTCGCTTCATCTACCAGATGTTCAACATCCCTTTAGTTTCCTATTCCGAAGCGTGGTCCTCAGGAGCTAGAGTTCCCCTGGAGGGCCAGGGGTGGCCAACCTTCTGTGGCGTCTCTGCGCCACACGGGAAGAGAGAGAGTTGTCTTGGGCCACTCATTAAATACATTACAATACGGAATCACAAAATAATCTCATAATGTTTTGAGTAAATGTACGATCTTGTGTTGGGCCGCATTCACAGCCATCCTGGGCTGCGGGCGGCCCGCGGGCTGCAGGCTGGACACCCCTGCAAGCTGCTGCCTCGCTCCCCACTGGTCCGCAGGCACGGCTGGCCCTGCTCCTCCCGGTCTACATGGTGAGACTCGCCTGACACAGGCAATTAGCATGCTCAGCAGCTCACCTCAGCACACTCTCCTACTTCCTTTTTGTTTTTCCAATAAAAACAGAACTCGTCAATGCTGCCAAATGTATTGATGGGATACTATAAATCTCAGTAAGTGATGTGAAATAGTATCTACATACTACTTATAAATATCTTCTTTACTAAATTTCTTCATGAATCTAAATGTGGTCCTACTTCCAGCTGTACACTTTGTACCTAAGCATAAACAAGTTCAGAAGTCAAGCGTTATCTTACTTAGATGAAATAACTCTTTGGGAAACACACAAATGCCCAGGCTTCAAGGTCGCTTGGCCCTGAAAACCCCAGCCTTCTGCTAGTCCCTCAGAGAGAAGGCATCGGCTGCTCTGCAAACAGACTGAACAAGTTCAAATCCTGGTTCTGCCCCTTCCAAGCATGGTGGATGTGGTAGTTATTACCCACCCTATGTCTTGATGCCTCAGTTTACTCATAAGTAATATGAGGATTAAAAGCAATGCCTATCTTTCAGGATTTCTCTGAAGGTTAAGTGGGCTGATAAATAATGCCTAGACATAGTAGTTCCTGTTGTTACTAATTTTATTCCTTCTCTGACAGCACTGCCCTGTCTTATGCTCTCTTCGCCTGATGTCAAAGACAGCGGCAAAAGAAGGTATTATCCACAGCCTTTGGAAAAGAGCCTGTGTGAACCTTTTTCCAGTCACCATGCATTCCTTGAAGCTAAGGAAGCTTAAGTTTTAGAGTCCCCTCAGGATCTTGGGAGGTGCCTGTTAATTCTAGACTCATACTGTGTATGCTTCATCTTTAGAAAGGTCTTTAAAACTATAAACACTTCAGGTGCCACCACACTGAAGCCCAGCCCTATCTACACATAAGCAAGGTCTGTTGCATCTGCTATAGCTCCCCCGTGTGTTGGAGCCAGCTTCTGATGGACTACCTACTCGTGTGAAACTTTAAAATCTCTTTTCTACAATAGAAAATATATTTTAAAACACCCCTACAATGTGATTTTTAAAACCAGAGATACAAAGTTGCTTCTTTACTCCTAAGTGTTTAGCTTTGTCTACACAGACATATTTTTATGGTGTGAGGTTTGAAAACTAAAAATTCAAAGAGGAAAATATTACTCATCATTATTCTATTAACTTTTGGGGCATATTCGCTGCCAAGAATAAATATGTGTGCGTGTGTATGTATTTGCTTTATATTTTATTACCCAAGTAATATAAGTTCTACATCTTCAAAATGTTAGAGCAATAAAAATATAACTAAATTTGCCTGTTATATAATCAGTGGGCAAAGGCATGAGAGAAAAGAAATTTGTGTAAATTCAAACTGTCTTCCCTAAAATATTTGTTAACTCCAGGAGGAATGATAGCATTTTTATAGTGGAAAATTCTGGATGCCACCCTGGGCCAGTGATAAGATCAACATAACCAGGAATAAAATTTGTCAGCATCATGAGCCCCATGAGATGATGTCCTGAGAAGGACGCAGCACCGTCCCATAGTGCCAGGGAGGAGGGAGACATTCGTCGAAATGTGAGACGACATCAAAATGGGCCACAGTGAGGGACATTCAGCAAAATAGCTGAGCTACACTCACGGGCGACGTTAAAGTCATAAAAGGCAAGGAAAGACTAAGGAAGAGTTGCAGACTGCAGGTAACCAAGGTGAAACAACTACATACAACGCAGGATCCTGGCTGAAATTCTGGAACAAAAAGAATGCACATGAGTGAAAAAAAAATGGTGAAAATCAAATGAAGAGTTTAGTTTGGATAATAATATTGCACCAATGTTAGGAGCCTGTTCCGATCACCGCACTGGGCTACAGAAGACGTTGACAGTGACGGCGGACAGGGAGGGATAGTTTGAAACCCTTGGCAACCTTTATGTCAGTCTAAAAGTAGACCAAACTCTAAAAAAAGTTTTATAAGAAATATAGGGTATCACTTTATGTATTTCTCTAGATAGAGCATCAAGGTGTAGGTGTTATTCAACAAATTTTTTTTTCACTAAATGATGTAATTTTTAGATGTATCCAAGTTCATAAACAGTTAAAATTCATTCCCATTAATTGTTCCATTATATGAACATACTTGAGTTACATTATTGTGTATATTTAGGTTATTTCCAATTTTCCATTATTTACAAATAATACCTTGAAAATGAAAATGTCACCTTCTGAACCTATATAAGAGTTTCTCTTATCGAAACATGGAACTGCTACTTAACAGGGCATATGCAATTTTAGGTTAGTGAGTTTCCATCAATTGTCCCCCCAAATGACCACACTGATATGCACGCCCATCAGTACCACACAGGTTTATCAATATGTCTACAATTTCACCAGCAGTTAATCTAATGAGTATCTTACTGTTTTCATTCACATATCTCTGACATATAGTAAGATTGAGCATCTTGTCATTTTTATTGTTGGGCCTTTTAAATTTCTTTTCAGAGGAGTCCCTTTTAATATGATTTGCATACTTTCTTACTGGTGGTTTTATCTTTTTCCTATAGGTAATAAGAGTTCTTACAAATTCTGAATACCAAACTGCTATTTCCTCATTTGTCACTTATCATTTAACTTCCAAGTAAGCAGTTGTTGTTACATAAATTTTTTTAATTTTTATAAAGTCAAATCTGTCAAGGTCTTCTTTTAATAGTGTTTGCATTTTTATCTTAATAAAAGTGCCTTTGTTTAAAAATGTAGCAATACTCTTTCTTTAAATTATTTTAATATTCTGTTTGCTTCCACACTAAGGACTTTGATCCATCTACAATGAAATTCAGTAGGATAAGTAGAAGGAAACTTTATCTTTGTAAATAGCAAATTGAGCCAACACCATTTCTTGAGTAATTCAGCCTTTCCTCCACAGATTTATAACATTCCCTTTACCATATACCAAAAAAACATTCTGTTTTTGGAAATATATATATATAATGTGCATTCTATAAAATTATAATTACAAATTTTAAAATCTGAACATTACATTTAAATTGTCCTTGATCACAGGATTGAATTGGTATTCAATAAACACTTGCTATTCATCATCAGTTTTGCCATGTGCTTCTGGTTCTGCTGCCTACTGAAGAGAAATCACAATGTGCATTTACAATGACTAGACCATGCTCTGCTTTGTCTTGGAGTTTGCACTCTCCCATCTATTATAACACCTATCATGCTCAACTGCATTTACTGGCTCTAGACCCGTCTTCCACTCCAGTCTGGAAGTTTTCTGAAGGCAAGTCCTGGTCTCAATCACTTCTGAATCCCAAGTGCCCAGCACATTGCCTGGTGCACAGGAGATGCTTAACAAGTGTTTATTAATCTGTGTTTTTTCTCTTGTGCAGTTTTTTCAAACTGTTTTGTTAGTAAGACCATAAGAAGAAGAAAGAGGTCAGAGTCATTGCTCCCTCATCCCCCTCGCTTCCTCAAAATACATTTTTGAAAAAGCTGCTTTATGATATCACGCTTATTATCTCTGTCATGTTTAAATATCCCTCAAAACCACACACGTTTCATTCCCGCCTTAAGCCTTTAGGGAAAGGGCATACAGCACCAAGTGAAAGGGGCTTAAAAAGGAAAGGCTTAAAGAGTCTACACTCTGAGATGGTTTTGCCTCTCTCCTTTCATTCAACAAATATTTGGTCAGTTCCTACTGTGTACACAGCACAGCCCTAAGAACTGTGGGAAATACAAGTTCCCTCCTTGGGTCTGCCTTCAGGGAAAAAAAGGTGAAAGAAAAAAAGAGAAAGAAAGAGGGTTGGAATGCCAAGTCTAGGAAAGACGGACAACATAAATGTGACTGGACGTGAGGAAGGATTCTTTGGGCCCTTGATTTCCATTGAAACGAAGAACCCTTCAACGACAGTAGCAGCTTTCTCACTTCCCAAATACCAACGCAAACTCCTTTTTTGCAAAGGCCAAGTTATACGGCACCTTCGATCCTTTCACAGAGCTTATGCAGCGAGTGCATAGGGCAGGCCTCGCACAGCTTGATCTGGGTCTTGGCGCTCTGCAGGGCGGCTGCTGTACTGAAAGCCTGTTTCAGAGTCAGCATCACCTCATCGACCTGCAGGAAGCAACAAAAATCATGTCCGTTAGAGTACGTGAGTGCGGTGACATATTCAAATCCCAACAGCAATGTGAGACTTTGTTGATGCTGACTAAATAATAAATAATGGAACTTTGATGACTACATATAACTCTTTTCTTTTTAATCTTCACCCAAGGACATACCCATTGATCCTAGGGAGAGGGGAATGGAGGGACAGAGAGAAGAAGGGAAACATAGAGGTGAGAGATAAACATCCATTGGTTGCCTTTTGCATGTACCCCGACTTGGGGCCCAACCAGCAACCTAGGTATGTGACCTGACCAGGAATTGGTTTACAGGACAACGCTCCAGCCAACTGAGTCCCATCGGCCAGGGCATGGCTACTGATCTTAGAGAGAAAATATTGTCTTGTAGTTAGACCTTTAATTATACATTTATTTGAAAGCTGGATGAAATAAGACCATTTTTTAAGTTAATCGTTATTGTATTTTTTCCTATTACAATTTAGCCCCCTTGTCTCCTCTCCCCCGCCAGCAGTCACCACCCTGCTGTCCACGTCCATGAGTTCTTTTTCCTTTTTGATCAGTCCCTCCACCCCTTAACCCCGCCCCCACTAGCTGTCACCTGCTCTCCATCTATGAGTCTGTCCGCATTTCTTTTCTTAGTTCAGTTTGTTCATTAGATTCCACATATGAGTGAAATCATACGGTATTTGTCTTTCTCTGACTGGCTTGAAATGCGACCATTTTATATGCGTAATATAATATTCATCTGTTATTGAATGTTATTTTTGAATCCCACCAAGTGTTATGATATCACAGGCAGTTTGATAATCAATTGGGTTTCTGTTTAAGTATTCACATAAAAATCTCTTTGGAAGTTTTACCTGCAATATATAGTGAGCAACAAAAATAGGTTTACTATTCACTTGTGTTAATAGGTATCCTATTTACTTTATCCTTCTGAATCTTTTTTTTAGTGTAAAAAACAAAAAACCTTTTCAAGCAAAGTTCTGGGAGGGAAATGAGTTCGATTTAAATAATGTTGGAGAGGTCTATAAACAGTGTTCATCTTATCTCTGTGGATAATTTGTTATCGCTTTACTTTTGACTGGTGACACTAAGAGGTTCTGGCACCTTGTTGTCTAATAGCTGGTCGCAAAACTGGGTGAGCAGCTTGAAAACTACCAGCTGCGTTCTTTCTTGCTCTTCCATTAACTCAGCCAATAAGGTGGAATCTAACATTCTAGTTTCCTGGGTGCTGGATGCTTCTTCAGTCAACTGACAGCTCATTCCTAAGCACTGTTAAACCAACTTCAGGCCATGCCATCTTCTCTGGGAAACAAACATCAGTGTTAAGAGATAGCTTTCCCACACGCTGTAGAACTGAGATCAAAATCTAAAATCTGCACAGGAGCTCTGAAGTACTATGGGGCTCAACAGAACTGCCTTTAATATTCCAAATCATTCACCATGCTTATAAACTATTATTTTTTAAAGACTCTTACCCCCTTCCACTTTGGCCTAGTTGAAGAATAATCTAATATTTAAAGGGGTTAATTTACTTCCGCATTTGAGTGTAGGCAGAACCTAGAATAAAAAGAAACTTTATTCTTCTAATATTACTAAAAGGAGAGACCGAACACTAAGTAGCCAGTCATTATTCAGTTATGTTTTATTATATTACCAACTTTTTAAAAGGCTCATAAATAATTTTATATCACTCCATGAATTAAAATGAATTATTCAAAGTCTATTCTTTTATACTATAATTAAAAATAAAGATTTCTAGTTCTTGAAAATAAAAGAACTACATGTTTAATCCTTTCAAATTTTTTATTTCATTTGCCTTATTATGTATTGAAAAGCAATTCAATTACGTATGGAAATGTTTATTTCTGTTTTTTTGTTTCTCATTTATTTAGGGTTCAGCTTTCATATAGACTGTTATTTAGCAACACTGCCTTGTAAAAAGGCCTCCAATGTAAATCCTAAACTTTCATGTTTTCTTATCTATTCTAGATTACACAAGAGGCCAATTTAATGATGTCTGAAATATGGCTACCAATTTCTTCCAGCCACAAATATTACTAAAAACTTTATTTGACTTCTGAAATTTTAAATGTTTTATTCTTTTAATGCACCTATAAGTTCTTTCATGGGATCAGTGCAACTACAAGTTCAAATTCGTATAATATGAAAACTTAATTGTTTTTATTTAGCTACAAAAACAAAAAAAATCATAGGTTGTATTAAAAGGTTAAAAGTTAAAAAATGGGTAAAGATAAATCAATCATATGCAAACAACAAAAAAGTATTCTTAGCATTACCATCAAGCAAAAGCAAATGTGTAGTGAAAAGTGTTAGATGGGACAAATGAGGCCAGTTTATGCTACTTAGGTGAAAATCCATAACGAAGACAATGTTCACAAACATTTATACACTAAACTTAGGTATTTCATAGCATTTTAGCATGAGTCTAAGAATTACAGAATATGTAAGGACTTTAGAAGACTGTTGAGTCCACGGCTAGTGGGGGGCTGAGGGGGTGAAGGTTTGAGCAAAAAGGAAAAGGGCCCAGGGACAGGGACAACAGCGTGGAGACTGCTGGGGGGAGGGGGCATCAGGGGGCTGCATGGTAATAAAAATACAACAAAGATGAAATAACATACAGAAAAAGGTTATCAAGTCTAATCTTCTGGAAACATTTAAACTTAAGTCTTGGTAGCCTGGGCCTTTGTTTCGTTCTTTGTTATATTTTCCCTGGATACTGTTGTCTGTATTTGTGGATTTTTACTTTTTCCTTGTCTGTAAGGAGTAGTGACTTCCATTTTGTCCCACACCTTTTAAACCAATTTTGGGGAAAACAGAAGGGCTATTTTCTACAAATCTCAAGGGTTAGCTAAACAAAATTAACCTCCTTAGCTACAGCTATATTTTACAAAAGAAGGAAGAGGAGCGCTGAGCACCTCCACTGCCAGCATAACCCTCCCAAGTGCATCGGAACGCTGTGCTGTTCATCAATTCCCAGCCGTTGCTGCAAAGAAGCAAAAGACAGGGCTGGTGGTGTGTTCTTTGTACTCAGAGACGACAGCATGTGTGGTTTTACAATATTTTGTCTTACACAGCTGCCAAGCCACATCAATCATATAACACTGCTTAGCCCTATAATATTTAATTGGCTGTTTTGCTTTGTTCCTTTTGTCAGCTGCTTGAGCCATCCTCTGTTATGCAGGAAATTTGCACTTCATTTTTCTTCTAGCTTGCAGTTCTGATGTCTCACTATTCAGTTAAGATGTCTTCTGATAAAATTAAACAGGGCTTCCAGGATTCTAATATGGGCCTGTTCTTAAAAATGACGGTGCCAAAACTGAGATTCTCGTCAAGCTTCAATGTGTGAGGAAGACATTCTCAGCCGGTGTAGTCTGTTGCCTTAGTCACAGAGCTTCCTAAGGTGGAAGAATACAGCATGTTCCCAGCCTTTCTACTCTGAATCCCTGTTTCAAAAACTCATTCCACATGCAAGAGGGCAAAACAAACATACTAAAACGACAAACAAAACTTGTAAAAGAAGTTGGAAATAAGAAGGTTTTTCAGTCTTCCTTTTACTGCAGATTATCTGGTACTCAGAGAGTAAGAGCACCCAGAAAATGATTGCCTCAAGTTAAGAGTAATTTACTCCAACACTCAAAATACCCTTCCCAGGCGCCTGAATATCCTAGAAACCCTGGGGCATAGACAGGAATATGAATGGTCCTAACCCTGCGGGATTCTCAGTCTCATGGAGTAGAAAGTTGTGAACAAATAAATAAGTGTGGGGATTTGTAGGAACTGTGAGTGACCTGTGAACTAGGTGTCACAAGAGCTCTGAGGACAGAGTGACTAAAGAAGTCAATTCCTGAAAAAAGGTGTCAGAAAAGGCTTCACTAGGATGTGATATGTAAGCTGGGTCCTAAACAGTACATGGTAGAAAAGAAGAGGAAGTGGATTCAGAGCACAGAAGAGCAAGGCCAGGCTTGCTTCGCCTCCAGTGAAGTAATAGGAAAGAGAATGTAAAAGTAGGTAATGAAGGCACGGCCCCACCGCCTTGGTTGGTAGCAGGGCCGACCCCTGAGGCCCGCATGGCCTCCTTCCCGGCCGATACGGAGACCGTGGGAGGTAAGAGTTACACAGGACTCAGGCACCAGGGAAATGAAGAGAATGCTGCCTGGCTTATTTGAATATGTCCAAGGGGTGGGTGGGAGAAATGCCTGTGGGAGCGGCAGAGGTCTAAGGAAATACTTTTCTTCACATTACGGCGCTACATCGAAAGGCTTGTGGTAAAGTGGTTAGGAAAGAGAATGCAAGTGGAAGAGTAAGTAAGAACTTTTAGGGAAAAATATCAATATATTTTTATTTACTCAGCTGTATTCCCAAGTGTGCCTTATGTGTTTTTTTTCAAACCCCAACAGCCCCCATAAAAGATGTGTGTGTTGGGAGCGGGGATGGCGGGGGATGAGGTTGAAGACAAGAATTGACTTTCCAGTTCCAAAGAAAGAAAATGAAGGCTAAAATATGGCCATAAGGAATGAAGTATTTTAAAAATAAGGACAGGGCTAATGAAATAAAACAAAATCATTCTCTGCTCTGTAGTGTGAGCATTATCTATTCTGAGATGTCTCAGCAATTAAAAGAGTAAGAGGTCAGCGCCTTCCTTATCTTCTTATACAAGCAATGGAAAAAGTGAAAGCTCTTCTCCTAGTACTAGACTTGTCCTTATCTCCTACTAAGATGACTGGATTTACTAAACTCAAGAAAGTGAAAAATTGTCACAGTAATTGACTTAAAAATTAGTGTGACAATTTTTTTTAATTTATATTTATTGATTTTAAAGAGAGAGAGGAAGAGAGCAAGGGAGAGGCGGAGGAAGAGAGAGAAACATCGATCTGTTGTTCCACTTATCTATGCTTGTTGGTTGCCTCTCCTACATGCCCTGACCAGGGAGCAAGCCTGTAGCCTTGGGGTATCGGCTACTCAGCCAGGGCCTACCAGGGCAATTTCTGTTTTTTCTATTGTTGTGCTGCTTTAAAGAGCAGAGATCTATTTCTAGTTGTCCTCTCCTGTTCTGGGAGGCTTGGCTGCTAAGGGGAGTGTCACCCCTTAGCCGAATGTCTGGGCAGGAGCAACCGCGCCGCTTACCAGAGACTCACTGGCACACTGGAACACGTAACAGACGTACTGGCTCAGCCCAGCCTCTGCTGATTCCCGACAGATAAAGCCGAAGTGATCAACATGCTTTATACCCTAGTGGGGGAAAGAAGCAGGTGTTTAGAGGAGTATGTCCTTTTTAATCAACACTGCGGAAATCAACATCAGCTCTACGCTTTCACACTACTACGAATCTCCCTTCAGCGCTGTGATAGGAGACATAATGTCATAACAAATTTATATGGTGGCCTTTTGATACATAAAGTAAAGGGTGAGAACAAAACCTCATATTTTTTGTTTATTTCAGACAAACGCTTTTTACTCAGGGCCACAGGAATAAAAATATCACGGCATGATCCACTGTCTCTTGTAATAAAAGTGCTTTTCAGTGTTTGCAAGTAATGGAATTTACAATTTATTGGTCTTAGAATGGGCAGTCTGGTGATTCATCATAAACCCTGTTCTTGTCTATATGAGGCTAAGAATCAGAAAAACTACATCTAACAATGCTCCAATTAAATGATGGAATTCCCTGAAGTGGGCATTAAAAATACTAGGATATTTGTCTACTTACAGACATTATAGAGCCACACCAGCTAGAAGACAATACATTAAAGAAACTGTTGCAGATGTCAGTTACCCAAATTCACTGATCACTGTGCTTCCTGAATGCAGGCTAGAGAACCTCAGCTATACTTAATCAAAAATTCCGAATCATTTGTGACTCTCAGTCAGCCTGAATACATACATAACCAATTAGTAGACAGTACCTTGTTATCTTAACAGCAAGCATAGGACTTTGAAAAGCCAGGTAGGCAAAAATTTATAGTTGCCCTGCAGTCAACCCAAAGTGGGGAAAAAATAGGGGTTTGGAGTCACACGGATTTGTGCTTCAATCTTAGTTCAGCCATCTACTAGGAATGCGACATCATGCTGGGTCGCTAGTAATTACCTATGAGTCTCCATTTCTCATTTTTGTAAGAAATTTTTGTGACTTGGAACTAAGAAATAACGAACATTGTTCCTGGCACTTTTGATAAATGGTAACCACTATTCTTATAATAATAAGCTCAAGCTGTCCAACAGATATGAAAAAGGAAATCAACTGATAAAAAGAAAAAAGTCAATAAAGAGGAGTGCAGTGACAATTCATGAGGTGAAGGTCAGCTCCATCTGGTACAGCTCATTAGTGATTAAAGAATATCTTCTACTAGTTTAGTACTAAATGGAAAAAATTCATAGGACCTCATTAGCTCAGTGAGTCTTCAGGCAGTGGCCCCACTTCCAGGAAAGAAACCACTGTCTTACTCCCCACTGGCCAGGGAGCCAGTCCTGCAGATTCTGAGGAAGGAAACATTAGCAGGCGTGCATGTGTCGAAAGGCAAGCCTATTCCCGAATGTGGCCGCATGTATCAGTTCAATTCTGTGGAAAGAAGTAGTGAGAGCAGGGCCACTCAGTGAGGAGCAGAGCTTAACCGGACAATGATTTCCTTCAGAGACCTTTCCACAAATTTCTGTAATATTTTTGTTTAATTCTTTTTCTGGTCTAGAATGCCAGAATAGAAAGCTTACTTTAAAAAAAAGAAAAAGGAAAAAGAAAAAGCACATTTGAGCTGCCTGTTTTACACACTTGGTTTGGCTGGTTCTTTTCTTTTTCCCTTTGAGTGTTCAGTGAGCATTGCCAGTTTTCTTACTGAAAGGCTTGGGGACTGTGGGGGTGACAGGCACTTTTTAGGGTGATTCTTTGTGTTCTGGGGGGGGCAGTAACTACACTGGTTGTATACCCCCTCCCCCAAGTACTTGGCACAAGGACCTACATGTAGAAATATCCACTCAACATTTATTGAGTACCTCAGTGTTAAGATCTGTCTTAACATTTCTTATTCTGATGCTCTACAGAATCGGACAGAAGCCACAGAATAAGACATCTGCCCTTGCACAGCTTATGATCTTGCAGGGACTCCCAATAAACAGACAATTATGAGAAGGCTCAATAAAGACTTTTTCTGTGAAAGTGGATAATCACTCTACCCAATTTTTTGTACTCTGTCAGAAATTAGATATTTGCAATATATTCCTCCAATAGAGAGATGCTTCCTCTCTTTGTTAACAGAGTAGAAAATTTTTACCTTTACAACCTAATTTTATTTCTCCACATAATAGAACAAAATGAAACACCATTAGCTGAGGCTGAGGTGAATAATCAGCAAGATGTATTCAAAACTTGTATTTTCAAAAGGGAAAATGTGTGAGTATCATATCTATGGTGATGTTAACTTCAAATTAAAAAGTCTTGATGCTTCAACATTAAACTATAGGGAGAGATCTTGGCGAGACCCAGTCCCCTGCAATCACATCCAAGTCACTTTGCTAGAAAAGAAGCGAAACCTTCTCTAATCCAGTGACCTCCTCAGAGGCATCACTGCCTTTTTAACCTGCCCATATTTAGATGTAGATACTCTCTCTACTCCAACATCTCTGAAATTTTTTCTAGATTTACAATATATTTAGCTACTTCTAACTTTGGGATATTCTAAATTATTAGTATGGTACTTAGGGACACTCATCTATACCTGATTGTACACTTTTAGCTACACCAATTATTCAAACAACTTTCAAATACAGTGTGTGAATTAAACATAAACAAAAGAACATAAACATTCCAAAATCTTCTTTTCAAAATGTAGCATTTACACCAATAGAACTTGAAAGTACTGGTTCTCCTTTTACGGTCTAATTAGCGTAAAGAGCAAATATGACTCAGTGATACCCACAAGTTCCACTGCCCAAGACTTGAAGAAACACTACCTGTGAAGGCATTTTCAAGAGAACTCATCACCACAAAAATTCCATCAGTGGAAGGAATGTAATGAAGTGACGCTATGGAAAGGAAAGGCTGACGAGAATCAGGACAAACTATTCTGATACTAAGACACCCGGATGGGACTTTGTTACTGACGTAGACACAAACACGTGAACACACTGTAGTTGAAGACAAATCCACTTAAAAATAAAAATTAAAATGAAATTCCAGTTCGAAGTTGTGGAAGCCCAGTTTACTTTGCGGTTAATGTAGAAACAAGATTTAGCTGGTTTCCTCAAAACTATGATCTACTGCAATACATACCTGTGAACAAGAAGAGATATCTTTAAAATTCTTTTCAAGCACAACTGATTTGGTGTCTGGGCTGATAAGGTTAACCTCGAACCGCCCAACCTTAAAAAATAAAAACACTCCAATTAATTTCAACTCACAAGGACCTAACATCTCACTTTACAATTAAATATTCAACAAATAATATAGATTCGAATGCTATATCGAGCTGCACATAGTCACAAGTGCTTCACCATCCAATCCAACCGATCTTTCAACTCCAAACATCGGCTGCCTCATATTTCTTCCTTTTGTCTAAAAAAATCATAAAAATTCAGTTGGTCTTCATTTACAAGACACAAGAAGCCTTATTTTTCAGATTAAAAGTGATTGTTTTTTCAAAAAACTACAAGCTTTTCTTTGTAATTTCTAAAAATACCAATTATTTAATTATAAATTATAATCATACTTTCTCCCAAATGGTCAACAAAAAGGTATGCAGGAGTGGACAAAAGTAGGTAAAATGACCAGTCATCATTACCTAAAAGATAAGTCATAAGGAAGGACACAAAATAATAACATGAAGAAGACAAATAACACAAAAAAATACAATAATTAATAAATAATAATATAAGCATAATCTCATGTTTCGTGTACTCACAACTGGGAACCTACTTTTGCCCACCCCTATATTTGCCATTGGGCAGATAATTTTTTTAAAATTTTAAGTAAACCACCATTCAGAAAAATTAACAGCAAGGGCTGTGGCTAGCAAATAAAAAGAATAAATCCGATAGCCCAAAGAAGAAGGAAAACACTTAACATATCACCAAAAGCAAGACGATAGACACGTTATATGCCTAGGGTTATTAAAACAAACAAACCAATTAAAAAAACACAAAACTAAAGCTCATGAACTTCTGATAAAGCATATATTACACAGAGGGACTGTTTACCAAGGTGTGGAATTTCCTTCTGGGTTTTTTACAACAGGATAAAAGGACAGTCATTCTTCCCCTCCCCCCTCCAAAAAAAAAAACGAACTCTAGTCTTACAAACTCAGGATTAAAGAAACTCTACAGGGTTTTGTATCGGATTAAGCTCTTTTAAATGGAATTCATTTTCTACACCCTGAACAACTTCAAAAACTTTTTATCCTCAAGACCCTGTCTTTTACATCTATCCTGAATATAGCTCGCACCAAATTATTTTAATCCCTGATCCAGTAAATTGTCAGGCCGACGGTGTTTCTTTAACATTCTTTTTTGTGTGTCATCTCATTTGAAAATAAACCTGCGGGCCTCTAAGCACTTTTTTTCTCTCCAGAACACTTTCCGTCGGTGCCTAATCACTCTCCCCAGTCGCATCTTTACATCCTCGATACAATTGGCTTTCTGCACTCCTTCAAACACCAGCAACGACATTTACTTAAGAACCCGCGAAGGCAAACTGCTGGTGCTGCGAGAGGAACCAATCCTCGTCCTTACTCGGTCCGCCAGCTCCCCAGCAGGTTCCTTTCACCGCTTTTCTCGCCCTGCCCTGCTCCCTCGTTTCTTACAAGCCCCATTCCACGCCTGCCTTGCAACCCTTCAGCCCTTCTCTCCTTCCCTCCGCTCCTCCTCTGCCTGATCTCCTTCCCCGGGGGAGAGAAATAGAAGTTGGATGAATAGAAGCAGAATGAGGAAACGGGAGGAGCCGGGCGCCTGGCCGCCTCCGTCTGGCAGCGGGCGACGGCAGGCCCGGGGCACCCTGCCACGCAGCACCTGAAACAGCATGGTCCTGTTCTTCTCCGAGTCCGAGGGCTGGACGTGACTGGGCGCGCTCGCGTGTCTCCTCCGCGGCTGTGGTTTTTGGCTGTTCTCATGGACTTTCTTTTGCAGGACGCCGGTGACACTGCTGCACCGAGAGCGGAACTCCTGCTGTTCATCAAAGCCAGAATCTTCCAAAATCCGCTCCGGGAAGCAAAGCCGAGCGCTGGACAGCGCCGGCTGGCCGGCCACGGGAGGTAAGGCAGGGGCGGTGTTGGTGACGCCATCCTCTTCCTCCAGCAGAATGTCTGAAGGCGAACTGGGCCCCTCGACTTCGAAAATGACCCGGTCGTTGGCATCCGGGCCGCGCTGCTCGCCCTGGATCTTCAGGCGCTGCTGCTCGTGCAGGCTGAACTTCTCAATGCAGTCGTCGATGAGGCTGGACGGCGCCTTCTTGTGGGTCACGGTCACCTTCCCGCAGTACAGGACCTCGAACTTCTGAGAGTTGTAGAAGGCATCCTCATTGTCTTTGCTGGGTTTGGCATCCTCTTGCATGGCGGCTTTAGACAACTGCCTTATGCTGCTGATAACCTCGGGAACCTAAAAAATAAAGAAAATTAAACATACTTACTTAGGTTGACTCTTTAAAGATAATGTACATGGACCCAGGACCTGTTCTTGTCGCACAGAATGGATTCTCCTACTAAATGATAAAATATAGAAAGTCACTATCAGGCTCTACATAAGAGAAAGCAAATTTATATTACACTATCAGACACAACTGTCTTAAAAGATTGACAGTTAATGATATCGGTATCATACATTTCCATTTTAAATGCAGTCAGTTCCCAAACACAAAACCATGAGATGATATAGGCCACTACCAGCCTTTAATAAATCATGGTATATCCTTTAAGTACTTTTAAAAATTATGAGGGGCACCCTGGCTGGTGTGGCTCCGTGGACTGAGTGGGGGCCTGTGAACCAAAAGGTTGATGGTCTGATTCCCAGTCAGGGCACAGGCCTGGGTTGTGGGCCAGGTCCCCAGTGGGGAGTGCACAAGGGACAACCACACATTGATGTTTCTCTTCCTCTCTTTCTCCTTCCCTTCCCTGCTCTCTAAAAATAAATAAATAGAATCTTTAAGAAAATAAAAATTGTGAGAGGGTTCAAAGTAAAAGAAAAAGATAATTTTTAAAGTGTAATGACTGCAAATGAATGAATGAATGAAGGTTATTATGAGCCTCGGCTAAAAGGAACAAAAGTTTCAACAATGAGCTTAAAATAAACTTCCCAGGGGGAGAGATTAAAATTCAGACATCCTTCATCAGCATTAGCCATCAGGTAAAATACAAATTAAAACCACAGTAAGATAACATTACACACCTATTAGATGGCTAACATCGAAAAGACCAAGAACCCACTGGGATGCGGAGCAACTGGAACTTGCATACATTGTATTCAGAAATGTAAAATGCCACAACTCCTTTAGAAAACTGTTCAGTAGGTTTCTCAGGTGTTAAACATGGGCTTAACTCAGGACCCGACCATGGCACTGCTAAGATTTCGCCAAAGCCCTGAAAACAGAAGTCCACACAAAAGCTTGTATACAAACATTCATAGAAGCCTTAGTCAAAATAGCCCAAACCTGGAAACAACCCAAATTAACAATACTCCCTACTCATCAGAGAAATGCAAATCAAAACCACAATGAGACATCACCTCACACCTGTTAGAATGATGTCATCAAAATACAAGTGGTAACAAGTGCTGGTGAGGACATACAAAAAACGGGCACCCTTGTGCACTGCCGGTGGGGAGGTATCTTGGCACAGCCACTATGGAAAACAGCACGGAGGTTCCTCAAAATAGTAAAAATAGAACTACCGTCTAGCCCAGTAATTCTATTTCTGGGTATATGTACAAAGGAAACAAAACCACTGTCTTGAAAAGGTATCTGCACCCCATGTTCATTGCAGGATTATTCACAATAGCCAAAACATGGAAGCAACCTAAGTGTCCATCAGTAGGTAAGTGGATAAAGAAAATGGGAAATACACATGCACACAAACGCACACAGGAATATTATGTAGCCATACACACACACACACACACACACACACACACACACGGAAATCCCGCCATTTGGGACAACATGCATGAATCCTGAGGGCATTTTGCTAAGTAACTCAGACAAAGACAAATACTACATGGTCTCACTTATATGTGGAATCTAAAAATAAAAATTAAAAAAAAAAATCAGGCTCATAGAAATGGTGGAGGGAACGGGTGAAAGGGTCAAAGGTACAAACTCCTAGTTATAAGATAAATAAGTTCTGGGGAGGTAATATACTTATTACTAGACTTATTGTGGTAATCATTTCACAATGCATCCATGTATCAAATTATTATGTTGTATACTTTAAACTAATACAACATTATATGTCAACTATATCCCAATAATACTGAAGAAAAAAATGAATGGACAAACAAAATGTGGTGCATTCACACAATAGAATACTATTCATCATCTCTCATCTGGTACAACAATAACCTTTTAACTGGTGCGCCTTGCCCCCTTCAATCTATTCTCAAACGTCAAAAGGACCCTTTTTAAACTCATCATGTTACTCACCTGCAAATCCTCCAAGTTCCCCATTTCATAAAGGGTGAAAGACAAGATCCTTACAATGTCCTGCAGGGCCCTTCCACCTGCATGTGACATACGCGTAGTTTAAATGTGCACTGTGGCTCCACGCCTGGATGTTCCTCTTTCCACCCCTACCTCATTAGCTCTGACCTTACCCCCATGTAACATTCCCTCTCCCTCACTCTCAGCCACACCAGTCTCCTCGTTTTTCCTGAAAATGCCAGGCACAGTCCTCTCTTTGACTTCCATGCTCCTCCCCCCGGTAATTGCAAGGCCCACTCTCTCACCTCATTTAAATCCACGTGCTAATATCACTTGTGAGGCAGTACCCATCCCCCTGCCCAACACACACACACACACACACACACACACACACACACACACACAGAGCGCCAGCATTTCCCTGGATTTTGTCCTTGCTCTAGTACTCTGCATAGCACTTACCAATAACATTCTGTATAATTTATTTGCTAAAATGTAAGCTCTAGGAGATGTAATTTCTGCCTGCCTGCCTGCCTTCCTTCCTTCCTTCCGTCCTTCCTTCCTTCCTTCTTTCAGTTTTTCCTTGTTGTATCCTCAGAGCCTGGAATAATTCATGGTACATATTAGACCCTCAATATGTGTACTAGCATAAAAAACTGTTTTGGTAATTTTTATCTTTGGAAAAACAGGAGAGCATCTTATCTACAATGCTGCTTCACAGTCAGACATCTATGGTATATATTCAAATCTTTTAGCACCAATTCTAAATCCAGAATTTGTTCTTTCTCATGTGATTATTAGGGATATGTTCTCAGAGAATTCACAATTAAAAATCACAAAAATTTCAGCTGGCTGTTCTCAGTGTTTCCTATGACTCACCCTGAACACTTGACATGACTCAGGAAAACAGTCAGGTGTTTTGTACTAAAGCATGACCATCAACCTTAGCTTTCTGACATTTTCTTTTCTTTTTTGTTCCAGAGAGAGAAGGGGGAAAGGGGGTGAGGGGGAGGATGGGGGAGAGAGAGAGAGAGAGAGATCAATACAAGGGAAACATCAATCAGTTGCCAACCATACACTCCCCTACTGGGGACTGAACCTGCAATCCCGGCATGTGCCCTGACTGGGAATCAAACCAGCGACCTTTCATTTTACAGGACTATGCTCCAACCAACCAAGCCACACCAGAAAGGGTTCTGACATTTTCTTTTTACTTTTGTATCTGACAAGCTTCAAAGCTGTGGAAAGTGAACTAGCTGACATTAAACACTGCTGAAGGTAAGATGATTCTAGTGTGTTGGGCAAAGCCCTAAGACAGAGTGATCCCTTCTCCCCCAAAAACTCTATTTTATTAAATACTTTTCATCTGATTTTGCAACCAAATGCTCCTAAATTTTCAAACATATCTCTATAAAAGTATGGAATCAGAAATATTATCAGTAGAATGTTTTAGAATCTGAACAATTTTATCTTGTTACAAATATTTAAATTATTTTGGTGTGGTATTGAAGTTACAGTCTATCCCACCATTGAAACTGCAAATAAAGTCAATTCAACCTCAGTTGTGTCACTTACCCTGTGTTGATGTTTGTACATTTTCTCTTCCATTATATTGAGAGCTCCTACATGAATGACTGATTAGTGGCTGAATTTCTATAGTCTCACGGAACCCTTCCCTGTGATCACAGATAAAGGTTCAACACCTAAATGTATTGAGTAATTCAGTTAATGATCCAGCTGTTAATGGGTTGGCCAAAAAGTTCATTTGTTTTTTTTTTCCATAAGATGGCTCTAGTAGTGCTTAGTTGTCTTTACTTCATTTGAAATAATTGTGTTAGATTGTACTGTGACAGCTGTCATATCAGTGTGCATTTTTAAAAAATTATCAAAATTGGTGAATTTTTGTGCAGTCATTTTAATATTGAAGGTGGAAGAAAATACACAACATTTTTGGTGTATTATACTTTATTATTTCAAGAAAGGTAAAAATGCAAATGAAATGCCAAAAAAAGATTTGTGCAGGGTATGAAGAAGGTGCTGTGACTGATCAAAAGTGTCAAAAGTGTTTTGAGAATTTTTGTGTGGGAGATTTCTCACTGGACAATGCTCCACAGTTGAGTGGACCAGCTGAAGTTGATAGCAATCAAATCAAGACATTAATTGAGAGTTATTAACATTATACCAAGCAGAAGATAGCCAACATACTCAAAATATTCACATCAATAAAGTTATTGGTGAAAGTGAAAAATATGTCCTTTATTTTATAAAAAAAAACTAAAGGAATTTTTTGGCCAACCCAAAACAAGCAAAGCTCATCACCTGGACTGAACTGAGTAATTTAACTTTCCAGGAATTTGAGTTGTTAACTACACCATGAAACACAAATTCTAGTTACCTGTAATACCATTTCTCAGGTCATAGCTAACCATAGCTTTCGAAGGCCGGGACTGCAGACAGACACTCTGATCTAACAACATTCAGCTTTGCTTTTGCTTGTCATCATGTGGAAGACACATAAGAAAGTTAACACTATATTGCCCCTGTCTACACACTCAGAGCCTGCACCAGAAGAATCACATGGATAAAAACAGTAAAATATCCAGAGTGGGGAAATGAGTTACCAGAGAACCATGAAAACCTTCTACTGAGACATTTATTCAAAGGAGCAATCAGAAGAAGCAGAAAAGAAATAAAATCTCTATCCAGTACTTGCACATACAAAGGATATTTTGGGAAAACAGTATTCTCCCATAGGACAGTGTTAACTGAATATATGTATTTATTTATTTATTTGTAGTTGACTTCCTGTATTGTATCCTGCAATCTCTCTCTCTCTCTCTCTCTCTCTTCCCCCCCCCTTTCCTGTACCATTATACCATAAGCTCTTAAGTGAAAGAATGAGAATGAGTTGGGGCTATTTTGAATTATACTTAGAGCTCTTCCACATGACCACTGGGGAAGTGTCCTG